CGATCCCCCCCAGCCCTCCTCCTCTTCCTGGGACCAGGCTGGCGGCTCCCAGGAGCCTGCCCGGGGCCGCAAGAGGCGGGCACCCGCCTGGTCTAGTACGGACATCGTGGACCTCATTCACGTCCTCCTAGGGAGGGGATTCCTAAGGGCCGTCTAGGGCAGGAGAGCTGCCAGCCTGGCCACCCAGAAGCAGGTTTGCATGAAAATCAAGGTGGTCCAGTGAGACCCCCGACCCTGAGCCCTGAGCTTAGAACGGCCGTACTGGGTCAGACCAAAGGTCCATCTAGCCCAGTAGCCTGACTGCCGACAGTGGCCAACACCAGCTACCCCGGAGGGGATGGACCGAAGACAATGACCAAGCCATTTGTCTCATGCCATCCATCTCCAGCCTTCCAAAACAGAGGCCAGGGACACCATTTCTACCCCCTGGCTAATACCACTCCATGGACTCAGCCTCCATGAATTTATCTAACTTCTCTTATACTCTGTTCTAGTTCTAGCCTTCACAGCCTCCTGCAGCAAGGAGTTCCACAGGTTGACTATTTGCTTCATGAAGAAGAACTTATGTTATTAGTTTGAAGCCTGCTACCCATTCATTTCATTTGGTGTCCTCTAGTCCTTCTATTATGGGAACTAATGAAGAACATTTCGTCATGCACCCTCTCCACACAACTCGTGCTTTTATAGACCTCTATCATATCTCCCCCTCAGTCTCCTCTTTTCTAAGCTAAGAAGTCCCAGTCTCTTTAGCCTCTCTTAATATGGGACCTGTTCCCAACCCCTGATCATTTTAGTTGCCCTCCGCTCTCCCACCCTCTCTCTTCCCCTCTCCCACCTCCTTTTCCCAGTCTCCCCCAGTTTTGTTCAATAAAGAGAGTTTCTATTTTTGAACACACATGTCCTTTATTTTGTATATCAGGAAGGAGGGCTAGGGAGGGATAAGTGGAAGGAGGTGAGAGAGGAATGGGGTACGAGCCCCCGATGGGGAGGACTGGGGTGGCTCTGCGAGTTCCTCGGGGTGGAAGCTCTCCTGCAGCCTCCCGATTGACCCCCCTCCCCAGGGGCCGCCTGCGGCAAGTGCAGCCGGGCTGATGGCCAAGTGCTGTGATGTGCTGAGTGTGGGCACTCAGGGCACTCCAAGCCAGGACTGCTTTGCTGTCCCTCATTGAGTTAGACAGGCGAGCAGGGAACCCCTGAGAACGGCCTGTCCGGGGTGGGGGTCGGGCCCCTTTAACCACAGCCCTTGGCTAGCCTGAGACAGGAGCTCCATGCTCTAAGTCCTAATCTCATTCTCTGCCAGCACTGCTTCCGGCCATCCTTATCCTCGGTTCAGGGTCCACTCAATGTGGACATGCTAGTTCGAATTAGCAAAACGCTAATTCGAACTAGTTTTTAGGTCTAGATGCACTAGTTCGAATTAGCTTAGTTCGAATTAACTGATTCAAATTAAGTTAGTTCTAATTAGTGCTGTAGTGTAGACATACCCTGAGAGTGCCAGAGACAGGTTTTACATAGTTTACTCTGCTAGCTGGTCCTCCATCTCTGCACTCGGAGTTTCAGGTTGGGGGACTGAGCCGTGACAAGGGAGATTCTCCCTCTATTGAATAGTTTATGATGCCATAGCCCTGAATATGTCCTTCAATGTTTTTCCAGGAAACGAATGCCAGAACTATCCAGAAAAGTTGATTAAGGAACTAGTTTCACCAGCTTTTTTATATTTTACTGTAATCACTATAATAAAACTATGGACTATTCCGAACAAATTAGAAAGTCTCACTAAAATATTGTCAGTAAAAATTCAGTAGAAAGCAAGACTTTTGTGTTTTTCTATATACCATTGAGGATGAAACCATTTAAGAAGTACAGTAGAGTCTCGATTATCCGACCGAAACGGGACCGAAGAATGGTTAGATAATTGAAATGTCGGATAATATGGAAAATACCTTGTGAGGTCGAAGGTATTTTCCATGTGAGCCGCTGCTCTGCAGATGCTCGGCTGCTTCACTGGCCAGTTGCGCTGCTCCCGACCTACCCTATCTTTCCCGGCCAGCTGCAGGGCAGCGCGATTGGCCGAGAGAGATAGGGGAGGTCGGGGGCAGAGTAACTGGCCGGGGGAGATTAAGGAGGTTGGGGACAGCGCGACTGGTTGGGAGAGATAGGGGAGGTCGGGGGCAGCACGGCTGGCCAGAGGAGATGGGGGAGATCAGGGCACCCCGCAACCTTCAGAGGGCGGGGGCAGATGGGCTCCAGCATCCTGCTGCATGGCCCTGCTCCCTCCTTCCTCTTCTCTCACCGCCTTTGTCTCCACACTGCCTGGCGCCTTCCCTTCCGTGCTCCACTCTGCTGGCTCCGCCACCTGCACAATTGCCTTGGACGGCCACAGGCAGGTCGGATAACACGGAATGTCGGATAAAGGAAGGTCAGATAATCGAGACTCTACTGTAGTGACGGATGGCAGAACAAGGAGCAATGGTCTCAAATTATAGAGAGGGAGGTCTAGGCTGGATATTAGGAAAAATTATTTCACCAGGTGGGTGATGAATGGAATTGGTTATTTAGGGAGGTGGTGGAATCTCCATCCCAAGAGGTTTTTAAGTCCCGGCTTGCCAAAGCCCTATTTGGGATGATTTAATTGGGATTTGTCCTGCTTTGGGCAGGGGGCTGGACTCGATGATCTCCTGAGGTCTCTTCCAGCCCTATGGTTCTATGATAAGGAGTAGATAAGTAGTGGTTAAAACTGGAGACTGGGAGTTAAGGAACTCCAGCTAAACTTCTCAGCTAAACTTCTGCCTTGCTCTGTAACCTTGGACAAGTCACTTAATGGACCACAAGTTACTCATCTGTATAATGAGTATAACTTACAAGGAGAGCATGAAGACAATTTCTATAAAGCACTTTAGAGCCTATAATGAAAGGGCACCATAACAGATATTATTTTACAATGCAAGACCTTTCTTTGAGCTGCAATGTATGTGGTGGGTAGACATTCCATAAAAGGCAATTCCAGCTATCATACAACGAGGCATTCTTGCATGAAGTTTAACGATAGGAATAAATCAATTAAGCTACAGTACTTCAAATCTAATGTATTATCCAAAATATTCTATTAGTAGCAGCCAGAAAGTTTTGTCCTAATTGACTGAAGCTTTTGAAAACCCTGTTATTAAAGTACATGGCAATTAACTCTGAGAACCCTGGCAATACTCCAGCTTGGTTGAAGACAAAGACATTTATGGAAGCAAAAGCTTCCAAGCAAGGCTCTATTTTCTAATCATGACAAGTTTCAGAAAGATACACCCAGTGATGAATACTAAAGCACAGCAATTGAATTAAATGTTAAATAAGTAACTTGTCTCCTATATTTTAGTATTTATTTTTGTGGCTATATTACTGAAGTGAAGGCAAATTTGTTAATGTACTTATGAACTCTGCTAATATTAAAGGTCCTCTTGGAGTTACTAGGTTCTTCTCTTTTATGTATTTATTTATTAACTTGTCCTTCTCTGAAGTTCAAACACTTGGTCCCTATTAAATTATAAAGAGAACTGAGTGCATTGGTGAAGAAACCACAAGTCACATATATAATTAGCCACACCAGTGTATCTCAAAACTTTGCCACATCAATTCTCACCAAAGACAAAAAATATTGTTCAGGTCCCCTTAAATGGATGCATTTTAAAGGGGGATGGTTGAATATTCTGTCAACATTTTTTGGTTAAAAGAAAAGCATATTTCACCTGGCGGCTCTTAACATATTTCAAAGCAAAGGCACAACGGGGTTAGCTCCCAGGGCTGAGTGTGGTTCTATAGTTTCCCCCCTTATTGACTAATGGAATAGTCAATTGACTACTCTTCTACTTCATATAGTAGAAGAGAGGGATAGAAAAAGTGACAAAAAGTGATAGGAGGCTCCTAAGTGTTCTTAGTGTCTTTCAATTTTTTTTCCTTATAAAAGACTGGAGTGAGACACTGTTAAGTGCCAGCTGCTAGTAACTAATTATGCCTATGATCCTGTCTTTACTCTCTTCCTCCCTCAGTGCAAGGAGTAAATAGTAGTAAATATATACTCTCATCACCTAAATAAAAATGTATAACTTTATTAAACTGGCATTTATTTATTCACTAATTGATAATGCTAGGGTCAGATATGAAGGTTTAATACTAAGTTTCTTGGAGGAAATCACTGATCTGGGAGTTTGATAAAAAACACACATAGTGTAGCTTCAAGAAATTAACAGATACAATATTACTCAAGATTTGGAAATGTGACCCATTTATTTTAACTGAGAAGCATTCATTACACAGTGCAAACAGTTCTTTGGTAAATTTACGGATTACAATAAAAATAACGAAGCCTTTGCTTTTGGTAACAGTTTTTAAAAGTAAATAAATATGCACAATTTGCAACATACTACAGCAATATTCTCACAGTGGATACTGAGGAAATGATCATCCAGCCATTGGCCACTGTTTCAGAAATGTTAATACGGGTGCTGAATCTGTAGACACTGTAATAAAAGTAAATGTGTACTATCCTTGATTGCTTAATATATTTGAAACTGTTGGTGAAAATCTTTTATAGGTTTTATGATTATGGAAAATAACTGAAGATGACAGCTGTATAAGCATTTCAAGAGTTATTCCAGAATCTTTGTTTTATACCGTATGAGTAAACATTGAACAAAGAACAACAGATATTCACTTTATTCTGGGGAGGGGAACAATGGAATCAGATACCTGATACTGTATATAATGTATAAATGGAAAAGTTCTTCTCCTATGATCGGAAATTAGAAGGATATTTAATTCATATTAACTTGCAGGGAAATTATTAAATTAATAGTCCATTAAAAGCACTTTTCCACTGGTCCATATAACCATATAAATTTTTAAATTATTATATTCGATTTGGTTCTGCAAACCTTTCTTCTTACTGTAATCAGTGGGAGATCCATGTGCACAGATCTTCCAGAGTAAGTGTGCAGTTTGGACTCTCAAGAAAGCAGAACAAAAGTACTAGCGTATCAAAAAAGGGAAGAAATGTCAAGCCCTAGATACCCCATGAAACTTTCCACACAGATTCTAAAAATATTAAAGTAGATTATGTACGTCAAAACTTTATATATGAAATCAATTATATTCTTAAAAATATAAATGGTAGTACCTCATGTAACTCTAACATACATTTTTAATTACCATACCACTCACATGTACATATTACTGTTACTACACTGTCAAACTAGTCATTGTAGTAAGCATATAATATATACCAAAGTTTGAAAGCAGTGTCATAGTATGTATCTTATCAAATTATAGTACATTAAAGCTACTAATTATGTGCCAAAATATTATAGTGGAAATTGTTGCTATAGATTAGCTGTAACACACAAATCTGATTTACTATGCAACTTAAGTCTTTACATAATACGAAGACTTACATGTTTACATGTTGCTTTTCTCTCTCACCAACAGAAGTTGGTCCAATCAAAGATATTTCCTCACCCATGTTGCCTAGCTAATGTTGACATTTGTGCACATTTCATTAATGCTTAAATTCCTGATCCCTAAAAACTAACAATTAACTCAGAATCCAGAGAATTCAATAATGTCAGTAGGAGTTCTGCATTAGGACTGCAGGACTGAGCCCTGAATTGTAGGAAATTAGGGATTTTTTTTTCAGAAGATGCACTGTAAATGAAAAAGAAAACTGTAAAATGAGGTATGATAGTTGTCCTTCATTGCAATGCATTGAATGCAATAATATATGCCTATTAAAATGGCAAAGAATTGGTGTGCTAATACATACACTGCATTGCTATATATTCTATAGTGCTAAAAATGAATTATGTGAGCAGTTAAGTGAGGCAAATAAAGGCACTGAGCTAAAAGTATCTATGTAGTAGCTGAAAATGGAGAAAACCTATATGCTCAAATACCTAATCAGCAAAAAAATGGAAAAGAGTAGTCAATCACAATTAACCATTAATGCTTACATTTCACAAACAGTGCCATAATATACTTAGGAACATATGTCTACTGACAATATGCAAAATGAATCAGTAGGTCTCATTGTATACAAAATGGCATGTGATGTTTTCACATTTTCAAAACAGGGCCATAGTAACTGTACATGTGAGCACGTCTGAGATGGACAGAAGCATGCTGTCAAGCTGGACTTTGGATGGTCACTTTACCATGATTAAAATAAATGAAACAAAAGAGTAGCCAAGCAATTACCTATGATCATATTCATTTTAATTTCAAATGCTACTTGTGAGTCATGTACTCCTTCCTAAAATGAGGAATAGCATTCAAGGAACACTGTCAAACATTTTTTTAATCATATTGTTTTTAATACCTTCCTAGAATCTTAATGTTTGTTTCTCTTTCTCTAACAGTGTTATGCTTTTCAATTAGTCAAACACTGAATAATTTTCCTCTTCTATTAAAGAGAGGTTAACATGAAACTGATGCATTTTCTTACTTCCTTTTCTATATACCAGAATAATTGATTAAGCAATCCATATGCACAGCTGGCTTGCAGAAATTGGCCCTGTATTAGCAAAGTTCTGAACACAGTTTTTATTAAGCTTTTATTTTAGCTTCTTCTGACTTTATTAGCAAAGCACTGAACATCAAGTCAGACTGATACTACAAAGTAAATATTCTTATTGTGCTTATTTCTCATAAATGGGAGCTGTTCTGATTTTATAATGTAAACATTTTAAGGTAAGTTATTTTGGATGCCTAAACCTACCTGACAGTGTCCTTTTAAAGTAGCACCGGATTCAGTTTGTCTAACCTGAGAATCTTAGTACAAAAATTATCTTGAACTGTTTATTTCCATTTCAACGTTTTTGCATTGTAATTTTCTTTTTATGGGCAAATAATAAAATAATACATCATCTTATACTGTTACAGCACCAATAGAATGTTGTCATGTAAAATCTTGATTTCTTGCTGTTCTTTTAAGCTTCTGGTTACCTTATTTGCCATCAGCAGGCATCGTTATGATTTGAAGAGGACACATCTTAAATTCTTAGAGGAGATTTATGGCTTCTTTTCCTTGCTAATAGTTTGTTTTAAACAGACTGGACAGCAAACTTCTTTGACCTTCAATGGTGTAGAGCAATCAGTTGGTGGACATGATTCTACAAAACATGTAATCTGACCAACCTGTATTAGTACAAATACAAAAACAGTTTAGAACATTTTATTTAGCTTTGTCTACAAAATAAGAGATATGGTATAGGTTGAATGTCTCTAGTCCAGCACCCTGCGGACCTGACCAGTGCTAAACCACAGAGTTTGCTGAACCACAGGAGGTCAATATTGTCTAACATCATTACCAACACTTCCACTGCTTACTGGACTCTTAGAAGACATTTAGGGGTAGATTAGAGCTACATAACAGCACAGAACACTGAGAATCAGGATGGGTGGCTATAAGCAAACTTTATGGGAGTGTGGGAAATGTGGCCACACCACCAGTAAGTGGACACCCAGCTAACTAAAATCATCCCAGAACACGGATGTTGTCAGACCAGACAGTGCCGGACTACAGAGGCTCAATCTGTATTTACATTATTTGGGAATGTAAAAGCCATTCTTTCTAAGGTTTTGGCTACTGAAACAAATTTTGAATGTATCATAGATTATTTTGAGAGAATATTAACATTTGCATCTAGAAAAAAGCACCTTGAATGGCACCTTTTAAAATGACTGTTTGTTCTAAAACTCTTTCATCCTCTGTCACAATCTGATCTCTTAAGCATCAGCCTGCACCTGCTCCTCACATCCTCTTCTCCCCTAACTTGCTCCTCTCATTGCCACTTCCCTTCAATGTCCTCTCTTCTTTCACTCCCCCTCGCCATTTAGCTTATACCCTCTTACCTAAACCCACCTAAAAAGCCATGAAGTTATCATGAAAATAGAATGAAATTCAGTAAGGATAAATACAAAGTACTCCATCTGGGAAGGAATAATCAATTGTACTCATACAAAATGGGAAATGACTGCCTAGGGAGGGGCACCTCCGAAAGGGATCTGGGGATCAGAGCGAATCACAAATAAAATATGAGTTATGAGTGTAACTGCAAAAAAAGTAAACATCATTCTGGAATGTATTAGCAGGAGTGTTGTGAGCAAGACATGAGAAGTAATTCTTCCACTCTAGTGTGTGCTGATTAGGCCTAAAGTGGAGTACTGTGTCCAGTTCTGGGTGCCACATTTCGGCTATGATGTGGATAAATTATGGAAGGTCCAGAGAAGAGTAACAAAAATTATCAGAGGTCTAGAAATTATGACCTGTGAAGAAAGACTAATAAAACTGGCTTTGTTAATACTGGAGAAGACAGAGGGGGCATAACAGTTTTCAAGAAAATAAAAGATTGTTATAAGGAGGAGTGAGAATAATGATTCATCTTAACCTCTGATGCTAGAACAGGATGCAATGCGCTTGAATTGCATCAAGGGAAGTTTTGGTTAGACAATAGGGAAAATGTCTTGCAACAGTGGTTAAGCCTGGAATGAATTGCCTAGGGATATCATGGAGTCTCTATCATTGGAGATTTTTTTTAAGAGCAGGTTAAACAAACACCTATTAGGGATGGTCTAGCTCAGAGTTCCCTCCAAGTTGAGTGTTTGGATGGCTGCCTAGATTCAAATGCCACCCAGTTGATTATCAGAGAGACCACAGCCATTCACAGCCAGTACCATGTGTTTCTACTAGTGGTGCACATCCACATGTACGTTGATGCACATAACACATTTATTCTGAACATAGATGGAACAATTAGAAGGAACAATGGTCTAGATAATACTTAGTTCTGCCATGAGAGCTGGGGACTGGACTAGATGACCTCTCAAGGTCACTTCTAGTCCAACAATTCTATGATTTTGTGACATTGTGCTGAATATTATTATTATTAACTCTGCTTCTGTGGTATACTCCTTTATCCTGCCATGTGTCTGTCTTGCCTATTTAGACTGTAAGTACATATCTACTGCTCTGTGTTTGTATAGCATATAGCACAATGCGGCCATATTCTTGTTTGGTTCTTAGGCACGCATTACCACATTGAAGTTGATTAATAATACAATTTATTAGTTGTATATTGATTTATTATCTAAAGTTCACACAAAGTTCAGGAATCCCATGTAGCCAAAGTCTCTCCTCCTCCCCCCATAACATTTCTTGAT